GAGGAAAATTTAATGGGAGAAGAAAAGATTTAAGACGTCTTCATGCTTATGTACTCGTGCCCCTCATACTCGAGTGAACAAGTATTTGAGTTTGAATTTGAGCTTTTCTTAAATTTTAAATTGTTTCAATAATTAATAATTCAACCATAAACTTTTTTTATGTTTTTGAAAATATCGGAATACTAAAAGCTCAAATAAAAGCAACATATTAAGTACAACAGTTAAGAAAAAAAATCATAAGATCAATTTAAACAACTTTTTTAATAGTTCTGAAAAGGCTCATACAATGTAAATTATTTAAATTACATTTTTAGCTTTGTTAAGTTTTTAAATTATTATAAATATTCAAATTGTAATTAATATGTAATATAATTGTTAATTCTAAACTGAATGCATATAAAGTTGAGTTTCACTAGTTTACCAAAGGTGTTGAGCTCTAGTCGAGCTTGATGCGAATAACTCTAGAGTAACTCTCAAACAACCCTACCCATCCCCCAGAATTACCACTGTTTAAAAAAAAGGGCTGAAATTTTAATCTGGAAAAAGGAGTAGGGGAAGGAAGTGCAGAATAGTTTCCATTTGCCAGAAGTTGGTAGAAAGAAAGCAGCAGCAACCATTTTACACCTCAAATTACCAAATTTAAAGAAAAGAAAATCAACAATTGAAGCCTGAAGGCACTAATTACCAGCTTTAATGGTAAACATGTACCAAATATTGAAGTCAAAATAACGTGATTTTGATAAACTTAACCATCAAAATATAAATATTGCCATAAATATCCAAATAGACAAAAAGAAACAAACTTAGTTCAAGACTAGATACCCAACAACTTCAATAGATTCCTCAAAAAGATACAGACAGACACCAATAACATGCATATCTGCTACAAGTGTCGTAGAAACTGCATAACATTACTTACAGGACTTACTATGAAGATTGCATCTAACACAAACAGATCTACTTTAGCAAGAGCGTTCCCAAATCTTCTAGCCTTCTGCCAGTAGCTCCCTGGAGCAGAAGATTATGAGAGCATGAAAACATTAGCAATATTTTGGAATTGTAATTGACAAAACCATTTAAATGAAGTATCGGATGATAATTACCTTGTACATAGTATGGCATGATCATCAATCTCCAAGGAAGACAGGCTTCACTAACACTATGGCGAGAATGACATTTGGATGAACAAGACATGAAACAGGGCTCGACAGGAAGAGGAAATTTTGTTTAACCTTACAAAGATCAGGGGCAGAAGTGGTAAACAACTACTTTAACCTCCCTTTCCCATTTTTTTCTTCTTAAAAAACAGAAAAAATGGTGAAGAGAAACGGAAGCGTCAGATCCAAACTAAAAGAAGCGAAGAAGGAGGATATGTGTATCATGCCAGTTCAGGCAATTATGGAGTAAGAAAACGAGTTGTTAGAAGCAGATTAACTAAGAAGCTACTTTTTTTTGGCCAATATCTAAGAAGTAAATTGAGGCAAGGTTAAGCAAGAAATGAAATAGACTTCTGAAAATCAAGCTAAAAGGAAGGAGAGAAACAAACTAAGGGTATAGAAACAAAGAGTATTAGCAGAAAACAGAAACCTAGGGAATTTGTGAGGGAAGTTGAGTAAGATTACATGGTATCCAGTAAGAAAAGGCCTACATTTTACAAAAAGAAGGAAACTAGGGAAATTAGTCAGTTAGTGATTGTTAGGAGTTTGAACCAAGGACTTGAAATCTTAAAGCAAACAGCTCTCAAGCATATGTTTAACTTCAAGCCCTATATTTTGTAGAGAAGTAATATGCAATTCAATGCCAAAGAAGAATGCTGGCAGCCACAACGTTCTCTTGCATAAATTCACTTATGCTTCTTGAACATGTCGCTTCTTCCACCATTCTGAAGAACCCATTCTTCACAAACCTTGCTCATAGGCACCAAACACTGACAAACCCCAATTCATAATGCACGATCTAGAGATTGTTGACCACCAAAGCAATTACTTTTGTTGCTACTACTGCTACTGAAAGCTAAGCTCATTCAGACTCAGACTACCATCCTACTTATTGACTCTATATACATCAATACCATTCCAATTTGCACAGTAAACTTACACACAGGAGCTCAACGCTCCCAGCAGTTCAGTCATCAGCACTCTCAAGGTTGAGAATGCGACGCAGAGTCCTTGTCGCAGAGTCTACAGTAACAAGAAGTTCAGTAGCAGAAGGTTTATGCACTCTAGTTGGAGAAGTAGGTGCCGACTTAGCAGTTGGATGTACTGTGAAAACAGGGTCAGGAGCAGGCAAATCAAGTGACACAGCCCGTTTTTCCCTGAGTGAAAACTTGGGCATCGGCAAAGAATTCGGTGGTGGAGAGTTTGAATAGGCAGGTCCAGCCCAGAGTTCAGAATACGACAACCCTCCACCAGCAAGTCCATTGAAAGACTTCTTTTTAGGATTTCTATGGTTGCTGATAGGAATTGGAGAGCTCTTCACACTACTTCTCGAGTCTACACCATTCACATAATGGGAATTAGCACCAGGGGAGGGTGTATGTGGGGAGGACACATGAGCGGGAGATGAAAATGAAGAACCCCGTTTACCTACAGGTGAACTAGACTGCTTAAACGGGCTAGGCAGTACACCTGCACTGGATTGGAAGGTCCTGCAATTAATCTGCCTAAAATTTCTAGATGGTGATGACCCAAATCTGCCTGATCCGTTTGACCTGACCCTGCTATGGTACTGATTCCTATGCTGCTCCACAACAACAAGAGTCTCCATTTTGCAATCAAAACCCACTTTATACCACACCAGATTCAAATCAAACTAGATCCACCACTACAAATCACCCAATAATATGCTAAAGATCACAAATTTTAGGCTAACTTCCAGATCTCCCCAGATCCCATAAAACACCATCAAAGTGCTCTATTTCCTTCAAATTACTCAATCAAAAATCAACCAACCCAACACACAATCACAATAACAAAGAAACCCAGAACCTTATAGCCTCTAATCAGATTAGATCTTCAATATGCAAACATGGGTCGTGACTGTATAGCGAAAGAAACATAAAAAAATCAGAACTTGAGAAAGGGAACAACAAAGGGAAACAAACAGAACAACCAGAACCCTGAATTTTAAATCAAAAGAAAACATAAATTTCATCATCATTTATAGGGGAAAGTAGAGCGGAAAATTACCAGAAAGTTGGGTGAAGTTTTCCAATTTAAGATTCGTTAGATCTGAAAGTGAGTTAGAATTTCTTCTTCTTTGTCTGCTAATTTCGGAGAATTTTTTTTCGATGTGAAGATTTTCTGGTTGGTTAAATTTGCAGGGCAATGAAAGAGACCCTGAAGCAGAATGTCACGGATCTGGTATGACTTCCTCACTCCAATTTAAACAATCGTGAAGGACACTGCGTGCTCCTCATTACTTTGTGCAGGAAATGAGACCTGTTTTTCATTTATTAACGATATTGACATTTATTTTTCTCGATGTTTGGGCCGTCTTGATATGCCATCTTTTTTTTTTTTTCTTTATACATAAATTTAGTTATAATGTATTTTATTATAAAAAAGAAAAATTATTAATTATATTACTATTTTTTTTTAGGAAATCACTTTTTAAATTTTTTATGAAAAAAGTGATATGATAAATTATAAAAGAAATAAGTAATTATATCGAATATATTACTTATTTTATTTTTATAATCAATTACGAAAAAAGTGATATGATCAATTATAAAAGAAATAAGTAATTATATCGAATATATTACTTATTTTATTTTTATAATCAATTACATTACGGTCCGTT